TAAAAAAAAAGAAGAAAATAATGGTTATATAACTGATCCAGCAAAAACTCACTTCAGAAACATCGCCAAATATACTGAGTAAATATAAAGTTACTTTCTACATAAAATTCCTAAACTTTTAAAGCCAACTTAAAATTAATCCCCCTCAACTGAAGGTACTAATACTAGTGAGACTTGGAAGAAAACTTTTAACACAATTAGAAAACCACAGAAATCTGCTTTTTCTATCTTTTTTTTCCTCCTGAATCCAGAGAAAAGCATCTAAGAGGTGAATGGTCCTGAAAGCAATTGTATGTATCTTAAAAAACAAACAAATCACCAAACCAAACTCCTTTAGAGCCATCCAAACAGTCAACATTCAAGGAAGGGGAGTGAATCGCCTCTTTTACACTTCGATATTGGGGGTGGGAGGGCGGTGTTCAAAGCATGTTTCCTGGAGAGCCTACTCTGATTTGTGATCACAGCCTTCTCTCATCCAAGCTTTGACCGTACAGCTACAGTGAGGAAACGGTTTTCGTAGTAATGAATAATTACTTTAGCATTAACAGCAGTTAACACTACCTAAATAGGTAGAATCTATTCCAACTTCTTCCTCAACCCTTCACTATGCTTCATTACTCTCAGACTTCCCTCTTTCCACCTACTGCAATTTTGTCTTTCCAGTGCAGGCTGCACAGGCAGCTTCCACTTTCTTGAACCTGCCCTAACGCCCCGTTTATCTCTGAGTGCTGGTCAATGATCACACTAATTTAATCAGCAGTTAGTCTCTTGTCCTCCTCTACTGTGAAGGTTGCTGAGACAGGAAAGAAAAGCTAACTCTGTTTCCAGCTGTTCACTGTCCCTTTGCCATGAGGACCCTGAACTGCAGGAACCACTGGAAACAAAGCAAGTCAATGCTTGATGACAAAAGCTCCCACCACTACTTGGATAAAACTAGGAAATCGTCATTTAAAACATTCCATTCAGCCTCTAGTAGCAGTAGGATTTCGAATCTTAGAACTGTATTACAGTCAATAAGAGTGATCACTTACAGTAGTCTTAATTGCCAATTAAAAAAAATGCAAAAGAAACATATTCACAAGAGTTCAGTTATATTTTGGAATTTAAATCCCACAAGTTATCAACAAATTTCACGAAAATAGCCTACATAGCACAAATCCAGCAGAAGATTTTATGCTGTGATTAATGATCTCCATCTTTTTTAAACAATTCAGTAAGATCATTGCAAGAAGCAAACATACATTTTCAAAGTGTCTTAAACGTAGCAAAATACTCAGTAATTTCCTCACAATAAGAAACAACTGAGTAGAGGTGGCTTAACTGAACTTTTTTTTGCAAAATTCTACTATGTGTCTTATTAAGTCATTCCGCTCCATATATTTAAGTAGAAAGAAACACCCTTTTCCCTTTTTTTCCAAAGGTTGCATCTTGCAATTTTTACTCCTAAATATGTATCTCCCTTACAGCATTCCCAAAGCTACGTTACCTATCTGACCTATTTGTTTATTTCCTGTACGCCAATATTACCTCATTTCTGCATTTAAAAAGACCTACAAGGACCATCTATGCTCTCAGCCTCTCCATCCTCAAGCATGAGAACCCTCAAATTTTTGTACTTCCCTTTTTTCTTTAACGGAAACACTTTTCCACATCTACAAGGCCCTTCATAGTCCTAGTCCCTGTAAACAATGCTAGCTTTAAGTCCCTATTTGTTACTGTTAAGGAACTTCACACTTGAGTTGCTCTCATAAGACCCCCTAATCTCTTCAAACTCCACACTTGCCCACAGCAGCTGACCTAGAAATAAGAGATGCACTGAGGGGGGTGGCTGTTCATTATGTTTTAAACAGTTGCATAGAGACAATGTCCCCATGCACAAGGACCCGAAAGCAAGAACAAAGTTACTCCAGTTTTTTGATATGCTCGATGTACAAGTGCTCTTTGGAAAGCGGGGATGTGACAAAAACTTTCAAGTACTCTACCGTGTTTAGTCCAAGGTACACTTGGAAGTCTCTCTCCAAAGAAATGATCATCTCTGTATGTAGACTCTTCACGCAGAAACCATGCAGTAAGCAACTTCGAAAAATGCTTTGTTTGCACTGTATCAGTACAGGGGGCTTACCCATAACACACACTTTAAAACCTTAATTGACAGCAATTTAATTTCTTACCATGGATTACAGTTCTACAAACACAAAAGATTCTACCATGAGTATTACAAAAATAAGCTGTAACAACAAAATACCTTTATACAGGTACCAAAGGTATTTGCAGAGGGAGGTTCTACCATTTTTTTGAGTTATTAATTTTCAATCAATTTAATTATAGCTCTTACATTTTATACATGTACACTTTAAATGACATTTAGCCAGTTGTCTTTACCACAAAAAAGTCAAAACTAAGTGAACCAGTCATGACTAAAGGAGCCCCAACTATCAGTATGCTACATCAGTCAATCTTCCTGTTTCTCTTCAGAGCAAAAATCACTAAGAAATATATAGGGGCGGCGTTTTAAACACTGACTGGAAAGGCAGAGACCAGGTTAAATCGGCTTTACGTTCAGTAGCAATACACCAGATTTTTGTTCTGTTTTGTTTTCTAAGGGATGAAAGAAAAAGAGATTGATTGTGTGGGACTTTAATGCAGTTTGGGGAAATAAATACTGGAAATTTTTTAATGAGGTTTGTTTTGTTAAGTGCAGCTAGTTCATAGGAAGGCAATAACACCTTTGTACCATTTCCAAATCAAGCACCACTGATTTTAAAACAATGAAATGCACAGCAATTACCAAAAAAAACCCCAAACTTTCTTTTTCCCCTCAAAAGACTGTAAAAAGAAAAGAAAACTACAGTAGCATTAAACTCTTCAGTCATATTAGGACTTCAGTGGAAAATTTTAGAGTTTTTAAAATTTTTTTTCTTTTTTCCATTGTTATGTCTGTAATTACAAAACTAAGGAAACGCTGTACCAATAACTGTATCTTAGTGTAATTCAATAGACAAAGAATATAGTAAATTATTAATTATGACTTTTGCATAATATCCAAATGTCCGTAATACCATAGCACTTCACCTATATTCTAACACCTACCTTCAAATCATACTGACAGAAAGATCCAGTAACTCAAATTTGATGTCCTCCTGCTCAGCTTTGGTTTACTACATGCAATACACAGGATTTAACATAACTTTGGTTGTTTTGAATACATTTTAAAAAGCAGAAACCGGGGCCAAACTAACCTTACTAACAGCACCAAAAAAAAAAAATTATTTCCATTAAATAGTACAAATTTTCATATTTTAAAATTAGTATCTTCCCTCAGACTGTTGAGGACTACTTCCTTCTCCCAGTCTATTAACATATGATGTGCAAAGGACCACTTTCAGATCAGAATAAAGGAAATTTTCCACTGTGTTAACACCTTGGCGAAGGAGAAGGTACAGTGGGTTAGCGTTCCTTCCACTTACAAAACTACAAATAATTCGTTTTCCTTTATTGTTACTGTATACACTCACGCTTCATTCCCCCACTATTAAATCCAGCTGGACTCAGTGAGAACTTTAGAACGTCCTTCCTATCTTAAAAACAATTCCAACACACTAATAAGCAAGTACACTCCCCATATAGAGCCTCATCCCCCAGCTGCTTTCACATATGCCTAACTCCATTAAATGTAGCTCCACTGAGGCAGAAAGAAATACTGATTACAGCAAAACTAAGCAGAATTGCAAGAGCATATAGGACAAGTATCTTTGGACAGGTGAACGGGAAATAAGAGAGGACACCTCTGTGTCCTGAAAAGTAGCAAAGAATAGCAGCCTACTGGCCTGGCACATGCATTAAATTCTGAGATTACCATACTTTCAAGTGTGATCAGATATAATGAAAATCAGTGTACCAACAGAAGATGTCTGTTTTTATAACCATTCTACACAATAATATCACATTATCAGTGGTCTACAGAGCCTCTGTATTAATCCAAAGAAGGAAGAACAAATAGGAATGGTAAGAACTCTCGGATAGCATAAAGACATTTGTGGTGTGGAACTAGTATTTCCTAAAAGATTCTTACAGATATTTTATTTATTTTAACTATTGTAACAAGTTACAACTGCAGCAATAAATGTATCTGTACATCACAAGTTGTTAGCTTTATATAGAACAAAGAAGCCCTGATTTAAAGCTTTAATTTGATTTAATTTTCAAGTTCTCTACTTGAATACTTCACTTTATAACTTGATACAGAGACCAAATACAGTACTTACAAAACAGAAAACACACTTTCAAATTCAGTCAGTAACAGCGGTTCTAAACTGCAACTGTTACCATTTTTTATTAAAAGGAAAATCCTACTCTTTCCTCTTTCTAGGAAGAAAGGACAGAAAATAACATCAGTTACAAAATTTCCGGGATATTACTACTGTCTATAATATCCTGTAAAAACACAAGAGGCTGACTTGACTGTGAACATTATTCTCTAAGCTCCTGCCAAGAAAGGCTCTAGTAAGTGCTACCTTTGATTATCACTTTCTGATTGTTAAGAGTTCTATGCAGCAACTAAATACGAAGCTTTTTTCATTTCTTATGGGGTTTAGTCTATGAAGCACGTAACTACACAGTATAGCACCAAAACACACAGTTGTTAAAGTCTCTAAACTAGCTAGTATTTATTATTAGTGAAAAAATTCAGAATATTATTTCATGTTATCAAATGTTGCAGTATGTCTAAAGTATTAAATTTAAAAAAAAAAAGAGAAGTTTATGCCATCTTTCTAGTTATAAGAAAAACTATCATACCTGTAAAATTAGGAAATTAATAGGTGTTACAATGCCTAAATTATTGCTTCCAATGAAACTTGCACTTCAGTTTTCCTACAGTCTTTCAAGCACGGTACAAAGCACATTTAGTGTAACACTCTCATCGCTCAGGTGATAATGGTTAAATTTTAATATTTATGAGATACTAGTAATTGCTTAAATAAAGGTTAAAGATAACTCACCACCATCCCTCTCTCTAACTCTGTGAGTATGCACACTTTTTGCTTTACTGTGCCCTGTGTTGTCACCGTATTTGTTTTCAGGGCTATCAGAGCGCCGCAACATTTTATTCGGTGGCGAAGGATCTGTGGTGTCTCGCATCTTGTCATGACGGTGATCAGCACCACCGGGGTGACTCTTTGATGAGTACTTAAGAGCCTGTAACAGATCACAAGAGAACAGGCATTTACATTAAATACAAAGTTACAAAACTGATTATTAAAATATTATTTCTAAATTTTAGATCTCTAAAACATTTTTTAAAGTTAATTAATTTTCATTTCCTATTTAAACAACCAGCATTAGTCTTTCTAATTTTAATTACCTACATTAAAGCAACAAGTTCTCTAATTAGAACTCAAGTCATTTTCTCCCACTATTACATCCAACGTAATACTTGCTGTTAAGAAAAACCTAATTTCTCGATCTTTACACAGTACTTTTACTTTTCATTTTCAGCAGTAAACAGGCCACGGTACTTCTACACTTTTGGGAGAAGCACAGGTCTCCACCTGGTATTAAGAATATAAACGGAAAGTTACAATTAATCACTGTAAACTTTGAATATGTCCTCCATACCTTAGTGAAGGCCACTCAGTTTACCGCTACCTTGAACTTCTGCAAGATTTTTTACTACTAGCAACACTGTAACAGATGTAATAAGAAAAAACCCTAGAATTCTGCGGGCCCAGAACACCTAATGTGACAATTCACTTTGAAGTATTTACCAAAAATTACGCTTTTGACCAGCTTGAATTCATAGTGTGAGCTTGTGAGTGGCAAATGTTTACATTTATATGAACTGTCACTGACAGCTGCTTTAGACTGTCAGATTACACTTCACAGTGACAGAAATACACAGAAATGTAATAGAACAGTTAAATTCTGTGCCCTAAGGAGAGCAATATGACAATATACAGCACTCCCTAGATTCACACCTTGAGAACCGTTTTTTCCAGCAGACACAGGAGAGGAATACAGTATTCGCCTTACAGAAACTGAGGTTATTGTCAGCGGCTTAAAGATTTGATGGTTTCTGAACATGCCTAGCAGCTGGCAACTGCAGAAATTAAGCCTTACTGGCAACCCCAGTTATCCAGGGTCTAAAACCATGCCCTGCTCAGGTTACAGTCCACAGCAGCAGTTTTGGGGAGAAGAAAGGACTTGGAGAGGGGAGTGGGGGAAGAACAAGATGCCTTTTGTTTTTAAAAGGAAAACACTCACCTCCCCCTGGATCTCCGCTCCACTGCAAGTGACCCCGGCTCGCTCTCCCGCCCCTCGTACCGTACCCTCCCCGACTCCTAGGCCCAAGCCCTACACGGGTCGCAGTAGGCCTCGCCTCCTCGCCCCGGCCCCGCAGGCCCCAGGAGAACGCCGGAGC